TTGGAAAGATAAGCCCAATGCTATTAGTGACTCTACAGTAGCAAAGTGAATTATGGTCTCAGTGGAAGAGATGCAAGTTAGTGCATAGTCAGACTCTTTCTGTTTCTATCACACGTAAAAGAATGTCTAAGAATCTCAATTTTTTTGCTCATATTAGCAAAATGAGTAACTTCTGAAAGGGTTAGTGGAAATTTACCATAGCCTTCACTCTCCCCTCAATTCTTGTCATTAATGAGAATTAATGAAGATATTATTAAAGAAACCTGTTGTTTCCTTTTTCTGTTTCCACTAATTAGTCCTACTCAAATATACTGAGTTTTCTGATAATTATATAGGTTTCTATAAATAATTGTATGGGTTTCTATAGCACGCTGTACAAGTGGCCTGAGCTATCGATAGAATATCCATATTTTGCCAGCTGTTTTATAGTCAAAGGATGTTGAATCTGAACTTGTTTTTTCATGTTTCATCCAGAGCTTTGGACGAGTGTTTTGGCAGGCTTCCTGGTGGGCACAGCTCCCATTCCCAGAGTTCTCTCCAAAGCATTAAGAATGGAAATAAGCAGCTAAGAATTTTCCAGTTTAGATCAGGCTCTGTGTACGTTAAGAGAAACAGAAGCAAAACCACAAGTACTAGCATGAGCCCTTAATGTAGACAGGCTGCTACAGAAAGCAGAGCTAAATCTGGTGAAACTGTCATAAACCGGTCCATGTCGGCTTTACACGTCTGGACCCCGTGTTTGTCCTGACATGGAGACGTAGTCACCGAGACAGGTATACCACCAAGAAGCTTCTTAATGTAAAGAAGGTCTGCCTAGTTAGGTGCCTCTGAAATCAGAGGCAGGGTCAGTAATCTCTTAATGATATGTTACTCTGAAGTGGCATTGCTTATGGAAAGCCATCAAGGCCACTATGAGAGAGAAACACTTTCATTTTCTTTAGCCTCTTCTCTTGAGGGTGTTTCCTTGGCTTGTACTGTGGAAACTACGTTAGTGAGTGACTGAAATAAGATAAATCATAGAATCACAGAATGGGTTAGGTTGGAAGGGACCTTGAAGACCATCTCATTCCAACCCCCCTGCCATAGGCAGGGACACCTCCCACTAGACCGGGTTGCTTATAGTGTCCATTTTATGGGTGCTTTTTTTCTGACAAATGTTGAAGAGGTGCTCCAGAACATCTATTATTTGGAAAATAAATAAATAAATTAAGAGGAAGCTGAGTAGAATACTATGTCACAGAGAATATGATCTGGAAAAAATCTTGAGGCAGAGCTGGGATGAAGAAAAAAAATATTGATTCCTGATGTCTCTTTCAGGATTACAGTCCAACTCTTATGGAAGTTAGTGGGAAACTTTCCATCTCCTGTAATACGCGTTGGGCTGGGTTCTCAGGGTATCACCATAACAAAGCAGAGCTACAACTGGTAGTAGGCACAGGCAGATATAACCAAAACATTTTAAAAGATTTTATTGTGGACAAGAGATTGAATTGTGGCAAAGCTGTCAAGTGTGCTGAGGATAACAATATATCAAATTTCACGATTCTTCATGTTGTTTTTTTTTAATCTTGAAGATGAATTGATGAAATCTCACAGCTACTCTGTTGTGCTCCTATTTCCTGGGTAGCTTAAGTGAGAAAAGAAGTTAAAGAACTACTTAATATTAGAGCTATGAACAGGCATGAATCTTGACTTGGAGCACTCGGCTCCAGTTCCTAGAAGTACTGCATCTCATGGGGACTGGATCTTTTACTAACAAGTTTTCCTTCCTGTGTTTTACCAATTTTTCATGGTTTCCTAGAACATGTGCACATTTCCAGATAATTTATACTAACTGAAAATTATGTCTTCATAGAATGAGACATCCCTATCTCAAGCATCTCTCTGAAACGAGACTCTCAGCCCTGGAAATACTACTTGCACTTTAACTACAGTCTTTAAAACACTTAGCATCTGAGCCTAAATTCCATACTTCAATGTGCTAAGAAATCTGTTTCATTAAAAATCTCAAGCCCTCAGATTAATTTAAAAAGATATTACTCATATTAAATATATTCCCCTATGAGGTTTTTTTCTTGGATGTAAAAATGATCATTCACCTTAAATAGTAACACAGTGCACTGCAATGCTAAGCACTGGGGGAATGGCTGTACAATAAAGTCAAGCTTCAAATTTTAATCTCTTTCTGAGCCACATCCTGTTTTCGGTTAACTGATCTCATATGGGGGAAATTTACCAGAGGAAATATCTCTAGTTTGGAAAGTACCAAAAACTTATCTTTAGTTTCTTTGTGTAATTCAGCACCTTTTAAGACAGAGGTGTAATACTTTTGAGAAGTCTCAAAGCAACAGAAAAGGGGCAAGATAACAGCACAGAAAGGAGGAGGCATATAGGCGCAGAACAGAAACTGACCCACTGGTCTAACATTGCTCTTTCTGAAATTATTAACTCACACATCTTGACATTCCAAAAGCTTAAGCTTTTTTAAACTTTTTCAGAAACTAACTCGCATCCTGGCAGAAACTGCCTGTGCCAGATTAATTTGCCATGAATTTTAACAACCTTAATCATCAAATAATGAAAGCAAATGTTTCAGGCTGTAAGGATGAAGGACTGAGACTGTATCACACTTTCCCCATAGACTTTAAACTTTAGTTAATATACGGCCCTGGTGACTCTGCACTTAGAGCATCTACAATACGCTTACAGCACAGAGAAGTAGAGAGAAGGAAGTGCAAATGAAGAGACATTACATGTGATTCTGCTAGTATTAGTAGGGAAAGTCTTCTCACTCACATAGGTGGATGTTGACATTTAAATTGGAAGCCTTAAAAACAACTTTAGTAATCATAGAATCACAGAGTGGTTTGGGTTGGAAGGGATCTTTAAAGGCCATCCAGTCCTACCCCCTGCCATGAGCAGGGACATCTTTGACTCGACCAGGTTGGTCAGAGCCCCGTCCAGCCTGACCTGGAATGTTTCCAGGGATGGGGCATCTCCCACCTCTCTGGGCAACCTGGGCCAGCGTCTCACCACCCTTAGTGGTGAATAAAATAAAATTTAATAAAACTGACATCCTTTTCCTCTTCCACAATTTCATCGCCAAATCTTATTAGCATCCTAGCTCTTAACAAAGGCTACACGTGCAGGTACCATGGCTGTACGCGATCAGATAATTGCACACCCCCGTTGCTAAATTAGTCATTTTCCTGTGCTGTGTCAGCATTACCGAACTGCACACGATGCTTTTCATCTGCTGAGATCCAAGTGTTTTACAAAAGGAAGCAACTGTTTTTCCCTCTTTACAGAGGAAGGTGGAAGCATTTACCAGGCCAGTGGTTTGTCCACCACCACTCCAGTGCTGTATGGCAGTAAGCGAGACGGATACCCTAAAACTGGCTCTGCAATTGGCTCCACCAGGCTTGTGCTTACTTCCCACTATAACGACACTTTCCTTCGCATCATCATTTTCAAACTTTTAAAACTTCAGAAAAAAAAATAAATAATCACATCTATTGTCAAAGGCCTGCCTAATTCAAGAGAAAGTAAAGAAAGGATTTTTTGACAAAGTGAAGGATCAAATCCTTCTTTTGGAAAGAGTCTCGCGTCCCGATTCCTGTGGGACTACAGGATGGAACTGAAAATAGCATTCGGCCCAGAGGTGAATTTTTAATAAAACAGTTAAAGAAATTCTGGCCATAAATGTAGGAAACTTTTAGCATAAACTGCTTGCAAGAATGGAAGTTTTATTATTAAAAATCCTGGCCACCAGAAGATGGTCATTATTTGTCTCCAAGTCCCACGAAGGAACTAGCAAACAGCTGTGACAAGAGATGCCCCACACAGCACATGCGTGCAGCGTGTTCTGTTACACACAGCAGGGCTTGAGAGGGTCCAGGAAACCAGGCAGCTCCCTGCCTTTAAGAGAGCAGGTACATTCTTACTGTGTTCTGAGTACATTTTTAATATTTCCTGTTACTTTCAATTTACCGCAAAGATGATTGAAATTTGCAACCTCGATTATTTCGTATAAACATTTTTCATCTTGTTTTTTGGTAATATTATGGGTTTTTTAGCCTCTATTCTGCAAACAGTGCCAGGCTCGGTGCTTATAATATCCTCACCGTACTGTATACTTACAAAAGTAATTTTTCCTGTATGTACATAGACTTCCAGTATATCACCTCTATAAAGGAGAGATACATCCCACCCATGGGCCTGGCGATCTTTTTAGAGGTTTTTCCTTAGGTGTATTTGGTTTTAAACTAAACTGCCCTTTCTAAGTCCAGAAAAATGTTTATTCTTGCTTTGTTTGAAATTGTCCTTTTGAGACAAAAAGGTAGCAGTTTAATGGATTTTTTTTTTTATGGGAAATCATGAATAAACACAGTATGAGTGTAGCAGAGGAACACATGAAAAAGAATAATGTGATATCATACAGGCAAACATAAGGGCTGAGTCACAGACAGCTGTGTGAGCGGAGTTTATGGATATTCTTCACTTCTTCATGAAAACGTGAACATAGCTGTTTATAACAAAGTGAGGAGAAAACAGTTCTGGAATTAATTCCAGTATTTCTCTTAGCAATGCAACAAAGCACTACAGCATATACTTCACTTACTTGAAGGAGCACTGTGTATTGCTCCCAGAAGCTGCCCTCCTTCCCACCTCTTATTCAATATAGTCTGTGTGGTATATTGTATTTGCTAATCTGTACCCATGTCAGGGGGCAGTCACCCCAGGCAGCTGTTCCAGATGTGGAACTGTTATGTGCACACACACAGCACAGGAAGGCGTTGGACTTCAGGCAGACACTCGCTGGTGAATAACCACCTCCCCATCAGCTTCCCGGCAGTCGCAGGGCGCCTGGATGGGAACGCTGTTGTAAATGCAGCAGAGTAACGAGCCAAGTGAAGCATCTAGAGAACCACCTCCACTTTTTATTTTTAATTTTCAGCTAGCACTCACCCCCTGTGGTATTCCCCAATTTTCTTTCACAGGGAAGAGCTGAAGAGATTTGCATCTGCGACTTTCTCTCTTCTGACCCAATCCCAGTAGACAGGGTTGCAGCATGTGATTTCATAGTGAATTTGTCAGGGGGAAAAGAGGACCTTCTGCTGAGAGCGAAACTTTCTTTTGTGGAAATCTTTACGGCACGCCAGCATCTTAAAAGGATTTGCATGCATTACTTCACTCGCCTTGCGTTAGCCTCGTGTTGTGAGCAACCTCTGCGCCTGGGGGCAGCCGGAGGGACCCCCGCAGGGTTCCGGGGGACAGCCGAGCCCCGGGCGGCGGGTTCCCCCCGGCACACACAGGTGCGAGAGCGCACTCTCCGCGGTAACGGGCTCTGGGTAGGCAGAGCCTCTGTGCGAGCTGCCGGTCACCGGCTCAGATGGCCGCAACCACACCCGTGTGAGGAACCCGCTAAGCGCACAGATTCTCCCATTCAGCTTCCCGGGGGGGGGGGTTTGCTG